TTGCATGGTTTAAAATCAGAAGAGTGTGCATCAAGATTTCACTATAGTTATTCAATCTGCATGCTAAGCAAATAATCTGAGAAGCTGGACTATATGAAGAAGAATGTGGCACCAGGATTGGAAGAAGGTTAATTAACAACCTGAGATATGCAGACAACCCAACATTGCTTCCTGAAAGTGAGGATGACTTTGATCTTTATCAAATGAAGACTTACTAATGAAGATTAAAGACTTCAGTCTGTAATATGGATTAAAGCTCAACATAAGAAAACGAAAATCCCCACAACTGGACCGATAATCAGGATCATGATAAATGGAGAATAGATTGAAGTTGTTAAAGATTTCATATTACTTGTTTCCACAATCAACACCAATGGAAGCACCAGTCAAGACATCAGATGACATATTGCACTGGTCAAATCTGCTGCAAAAGACCTCTCTATAGTGCTGAAGAGCAAAGATACCACTTTGAAAGCTAAAGTGTGCCTAGCCTAAGCCATGATGTTTTCTATAGCTCATATGCATGTGAAAGCTGGGCAATGAATAAGGAAGACAGAAGAAGAGTTGATGTTTTTGAGTTGTGGTGTTGGCGAAGAATACTGAAAGTACCATGCATTGCCAGAAGAACTAACAAATCTGCTCTGGAAGAAGTACAGCCAGAATGCTTCTGGGAAGCAAGAATGGCAAGACTTCATCTGACCTACGTTGGTTGTGTTATCAGAAGGGACCATTCCCTGGAGAAGGATAGCATTCTTGGTAAAGATCAGCAAAAAAAGGAAGACCTTCAATGAGATGGATTGACACAGTGGCTGCAATGATGGGCTCAAGTAAAGAAAGGATTGTGAGGATGGCACCCAGCTGAGTAGTGTTTCATTCTGTTGTACACAGGGTCTCTATGAGTCAGAACTAACTCAACAGCACCTAACAACAGTGGCAAAGTTATATATTAAACTCCTTATCTCCACCCCACACAGCAACATTAAGTAATGGGAGAACGCACTAATAGGAATAACTTGAGATAGTATTAAAGCAATAGTCAATTGTACTATTCAAATTATGGTCCCTGATCTAGCAGCACCAGCATCACCTGGGCCCTTCTTTGAATTACGAAACCTCAGATCCCACCTCAAACCTTTAAGAGATCTATAGTTTAACATCTAAGTTTAAGAGATCTACAGTTTAAGATCTAAGTTTAAGAGATCTATGGTTTAACAAAGGAGTGTGGTAGCACAATACTTAAGCACTCTGAGGCTAACCAAAAGGTTGATGGTCTAAACCCACTAGCCTCTCCACAAGAGAAAAGACCAGGAGATCTGCTCTGTCAAAGATTTCAGCCTAGAAGACCTGATGGGACAGTTCTATCCTGTCATATAGGGTATCAATACATCGAAATTTACTTAATAGCACACAACATAGCTTTGCTAGATCCCTTATGTGATTTGTATGTATATTGAAGTTCAAGAAAGAGCTCAAGGAATAATAACCCACAAATATGTGTAGGTTGCATAGATATGTATGCATATATGTGTGTAAGAAGACATATGAGAGTATATGGGTGTGCATGTATAGATGTATCTGTAGGCATATGTATATGCATATTTGTGTATGCTGCATATATTTTCATATAGATACAAAAGCACATAGGGGCACAGGAACAGATACTTCCTAAACCCAAAAAAACCACACCCACTACCATCAAGTTGATTCCAACTCACAGCAGCCCCCACTGGATTTCCAAGGTGGTAAAACTTTATGGAAATAGATTGCCCAGTCTTGCTTCCATGGAGTGGCTAGTGGGTTTGAACTACCAGCCTTCTGGTTAGCAGTCAGATGCCTTAGGCACTGTGCTACCAGAGCTCCCAGATACTTCCTAGACATAACCAAACACCTCGTGGGATTGCTTTACCTAGTCTGAAGGCTTAGGACCATAGTCTTGTGGAATAAATTGGTCAATTGCCATAACATAATTCATAATGTTCTACATCATAGTTTGGTAAGTAACATCAGGGATCTTAAAAGTTTGCAAGCAACCATCCTAGATACAACTATTGGTCTATACTCATGTGGAGCAAAAGAAAAAGAAGGAAACCAAAGACTCAAAGAAGAAACTAGTCTATAGGACCGAAAGCCCACACAAACTATAGCTTCATCTAACCTGAGACCAGGACTAGATGGTGTCCAACTACTGCTACTGACAATTCTGACCAGGAACATAATAGATGGTCCCAGATAGAATGGAGAAAAATGTAGACCAAAACTCAATTTCTTTAAAAAGGCCAGCATTTATTAGGCTGGTAGAAACAAGAAGATCTCCTGAGATTATCACTCTGACATACACTTTAAACTTGGAACTGAAGCTACTCCCAGAATATCAGCCAAAAGACAGAGTGACTTACAAAATTAGTAACATCACCCATGAGTGCTGTGTGCCCTAAGCAATCATCTAAATGAGGCTTAGTGGTCAACATTTGTCCTAGATAAAAATAAGAAGGTAAAAGAAGACAAGGATGCTGGATGAATGGAAAGAGAACCACCATAATAGAAATCATGAGAATGCTGACACATTGTGAAAAACATAACCAATGTCACTGAACAATATGTATGGAAATTGTTAAATGGGAACATAATCTGTTGTGTAAGTTTTCACCAATAATACAATAAAATTTCAAAATCAAAAGAAAGAACTCTAGACTAGTAGTTCTATGTAGGGTGAAGAGTACTTTATTCAAAGAATTTAATCATTGTCCTTGGTTTCTGGGACCCTTGGAATTTCCCTAGTGATTGGAATGCCTTTGTTATTCATGGAGTGCTTAGGATCACACCTGATAGGTTATGCTAATGAGGTGATCATGTTGGGTAGGGGATGACCATGCCAGAAAGACCTATCAAGTGTGATCAGTCTAACCTCCAGGAAGGGAAGAGGAGACAGGAGATGGAGTTCAATCATGTGGGCAATGATTCAAGCAGTCATGCCTAAATAAATAACCAAAAAAACCAAACTGACTGCTGTCAAGTGGATTCAACTCATAGCAACCACTCCTTGGGTTTCTGAGGCAGTATCACTACAGAAGTAGATTGGCCAATCTTCCTTCCGAGGAGTGGCTGATAGTTTTGAACAACCAACCTTCTAGTTAGCAGTCAAATGCCTTAGGCACTACCCCACCAGAACTCCAGTATAAACTCTAGACACTGAAGCCCAGGTGAGCTTCCTGGTTGGTGACAGATATCAACACACAGGAAGGTAAGGCATGGCTTGGGACATGAAAGCACTGCATTTGGGACCCTCCCAAATGGCAGCAGCTGCTACCATTAACATTACCACACCCACACAATGATTGCTTCTTCTATGTGGGTGACATTGACAACTGCTGGGCAGCAAGCAGTAAATAAAACTCAGAAGGGACTCCAAGAACCTATAGAATTTGTACCTGCATAGCTTTCTAAACTCATTTGTGTAGCTCTCCAGTTGCTTACTGAGCTGCAGTCTCAAAGCTCTTTCATGTCTTGTCTGTCACCATAGAGTCAATTCCGACTGATAGTGACCCTTAGGGTCACCAATTCTTTCTCTTCATGGAAGGGTCTTACCCTCCTCTTGTCCTGGCTAACTTCTTCTTATCCTTTAGGGCCCATTAGAAATGTCACATCCTCAGAAAGGTCTTCTCCATACCACTAGTTCTTATTTTGTATCAAAACCTTATTTTCCCCATGGAACAATCACAATTCCTAATTGCTGTATTCTTTACTCATTTATTTCCTATTTTTCTCTCTTACTAGACTTTAAGTTCCATGACCGCTAAGTCTTGATCACATTTTCCTTAGCGTCTAACACAGTGACTTGTGTATAGTAGTATTTAACAAATATTTGTTGAATAAATTACTAAATGGACACTATAATAAAAAGGATATTGGGTTCAGATACGTAGATGAGGTTTTACCACTGTTAATGGTAAAACTGTTAAAATGTTATCACAAAAGCTAATCCTTTATATGTAGTGGGTGAAAGAAATGATACTTCTCACACTGAATCAAGAGAAAAAGTAAACATAAGTTGGCTATAATGTTTGATAATTTTCAATATGAGAAGTTACCTAAATACCAAAGTAAATTTTCCTATAGAGCTGTTATAATTTTATAATCTTAAAACATGGTATAAGTAGAATAACTTTTACCTGAAAAGCAATAAAACCAAAATATAAAATAAAAATGTTTAATTCCCTTTTGAATGTGTGTTGAATTCAATACAAATTGATAAAGCATTTTTCTAGGTAAAAAGGAACCAATGTTACATTTAGAAAGCAACTGACTGTGAGTGAAAATATAATCTACACCATACTTTTAAAAACAAACTTAAAGTCTTATTCTATGTTAAATGTGCTGCAATAATGATGTTGTCTTTACAGCCCAAGATACCCGAGCAAAGTAATGGCACAATAAAGGAATTTTTGTTGTTGTTGTTGTTGTTGTTGTTTTCTTTGTATTATTTTTATATACCAGTAAAAAATAAACTCTTTAATAAATAAATATATATAATAAATATTTGCAAATTGAAAATGTATAAATAGGTCCATCCTTTAAAAAATGTTCCATCTTGGTATGGTATGTTTTATAGTCCAAGTTTCACTCAGGTTTTTAATGTGTAATGTTATAACCTGCAAAAGTCCTACAGGGTCTTCAGAATTTATGTAGCAATAATCTTGATCGGTTAAGTCAATCTATGTCTTCAACGTGAAGTATCTATTTTTAATGTAACTCTTAAAGTAAACATAATCCAGAGAGGTGAGGCACCAGCAGCAAACTTGATGGTGTTCCCATTATCCACAGTTAAAGAGATTTCCAGCTTCAATCAACTGGTAAGGACTGAGCCAGTATATGTAAGGGAATTTTATCCACTTATACAGAGTGACCTTGATCTACTTCAAGTAGAAAAAAATTGTCATAGTTTTTACTCAATATTCTTTCCAAATTCAGTCTCCCAGTGGAACATAGACTCCATGACATTCTGAATGTCTTCCTGGGTTATTATTTTTGTCATGGAAATTGTGATAAGACTGTGGTTTGTTGTTCCTGTAAAGACATTGTCACGCTTCAACTATATATCAGTAGGTCCTCATACAATTCTGGAACTCTTTCCGGATCCACTGGTCTAGGAAGAAAATGTGTAAATTTCTGATGTCTTTTGGACCTGGCACCATCTCTTGGAGTTCCATCTTTGTTGAGTGCCACAAAATACCTACGGCCAGTGTCTCCATGTTTATAAATGTTGGATGAATAGGTATTATACCAGTTCTCCTCAAATTGCTCCCTAAAGATGCATTCAGAAGTCAGTTTCTCCTAAAAGAGAGAAGGTAATTACCATTTAAAAAATAGTTTTAAAAGAATTTCCTTAGAATAGTCTAAACTATATTTTTATATCTTTGCCTATAACAATATCCTTGTGGAAAAAAGGATAAATGTTAAATTGTTTTTGCTTTGCTTTGTTTTAGTTATGTCATCTGAATTCTTCCTAGTAGGTACTGCATGCAGTAGTTTAGTTTAAAGAACTTGAAGTCAAACGTCAATTCCCAATTTTATTTTCAAATAATTAATAAGTATTCTGAACTTTCCCATACTCCGTAACATCTCTTTCCCACCACCATCTACCACCATCACCAAAAAACAGTCTGTAGTTTATCTTTTTGCATCAATAGATGTTAAACTTTTACATGTCAAGTCTCTACTATGATCTTGAACATTTCAGGATCTTATTAAGATCCAAATTCCTAACCCAAGATCATCACTCTAAATCATAAACTTTTCCTTTATTAATTTATTGTTTGATGATACATTCCCCATTAACTTTTATCTAGATCTGCTACTATTAATGTAAATGTAGTGAAAGTTCAATGATTTGTCTCTTCAAGTTGGACTATAGATTATCTTAAGGAATAGATCAGAGTTGCTTTTTTATTCCAACACCTACATGAATTAGGAAGATTATAAATGTTTTGTTTTTCCCCATTGTAATTCTACTCTTATGATTATTACATACTGCTTTATTTCTCTTTCTTCTGAGTTGACAGAAAGCCTGGAAAGACAAGTTTTGCCCTTACAATGGACAGATGTTAGTCTACCCACTACTTGTTGCTATCGTGTCAATTCCTACTCACAGCAACCCTACAGGACAGAGTATAACTGCCACATAGGGTTTCCAAGGCTATAATCTTTATGAAGGGAGCCTTAGTGGTGCAGTGGCTAAAGTGCTTGTCTGACAACTGAAAAGTTGGCAGTTCATATGCACAAGCCACTCTGCAAAGAAAGATGTAGCAGTCTGCTTGTATAAATATTCAACTTTAGAGAATTAACTCAATGGCAGTGAGTTTTGGGGGGAATCTTACAGAAGCAGACAGACACATCTTTCTCCCATGGAGTGGCTGGTGAGTTTGAACTGCTGACCTTTCAGTTAGTAGCAGAGTGCTTTAACCACTATGCCACCAGGATTCTATGATGGTAATCTACATACTATAATACTATAGTCATTTTTCTCGCTGTATATTGAGATTCTAACTTTATATTGTGGCCTCAATTGAGATTTTGAAAAAATAAGGGACCAGGTAAGGCCACTTAGTAAATAATGAAAAGTAAATTCTCTATGGAAATATAGAGACTTTGACTATAAGAAGATATTTAATACAGGAGATAATAATGGATAAAGAAAATTAGCACTAAATGAATGTAAAAGTGAAAAGAATATAACTTGGCAAGAAAAAAAAAATTCTCATTTTTCTCTGTCACTGTTTGGAACGATCAAAATATGAAGCAAACTAGAAAGACCCAGGATATTGAGTAGGAAGAAACTACAGAGCTAAAGGCTATACTGGTAATGGTTTGGATTAAAGAAATGAAAGTAAGTTACTACATTATTGCCTCCAAAACCCAAACTCACTGCCATTGAGTCCATTCTGACTCATAGCAACTCCACAGGGTTCCTAAGGTCGTAAATCTTTTCAGAAGCATACTACCTTGTCTTTCTTCTATGAAACACCTACTGACCTGATTAGTAGCCAAATGTCTTAACCATTACACCACCAGAGCTCCTCATACTATTGCCTAGACACATGGAAATTTAGCAGAATATAGATTTTTAATTTCTGCATAAGCTTATTTTATATACCTTTACTAACATGCATTATTGGTAGATATTTTAAATACAAACTGATAAACATTATTTCAAGAATTACAAGAAAAAAAAATACTTACTGATCCATAGAGTTCCCCTTTGTCATTCATTCCAAGGTAAAGACCACTGCCCACACCTCTAATACTGACCAGTCCCACTGCCACACTGATGAATTCCAGGATACCTAAATTCAGGAAATAAAATTATTTGTATTTATTAATGAGTATATGACTAATAAATATCTTCTAAATAAAAGTAGTAACAGACCCATTATGCTAAATTTAATGATGCTTGTGGAAGCCTTCTGTAACCTGAAAAGTGCTGTGCAATTGTCTTATCATTATGATCTTCCTATTTTACAGATAATTATAAAATCTTCTTGTTTTACAGATGGGAGCTCTGGTGGTGTAGAGCCAAAGACATCTGAGTGCTAACCAGAAGGCTGATAGTTGAAACCCACCGCCACTCCTCAGAAGGACGATTGGGCAATCTACTTCCATAGAGATACCACCTTGGAAACCCACGGAGGGGTCACTATGAGTCAGAAACAACTCGACAGCAGTGAGTTTGGCTGTTTATTTATTTATTTAATTTTACTGTTGGAGTAAAAAAGGAAAAAACTGTTCATCATGGTATAATGATAAAGGTGTGAAACCTTAAACTATATAGACCTGCATTTGTCTTCAAGTCTAATAACTTACTAGCTAGGCTGACAAGGTAAGTCATTGTGTTCTCACCTTTCATTTCCTCATATTCAAAAATGGGTGAAATGCCTTCCTACAGGACAGTGGTGAGGACTGACTCATATTAGACATTCAACCAATGGAAGTGATTATTATCATAAACTAGTATATATTAGAAGTGTTCTTAGTCCATTAGCTAATTATAACCATGTTTATTAATTATGTTGTTTTGGTTTTGTTTCTAGTGAATCAAAGTCAATCTTTTCTTAATAGCAGTAGTAGTATACCTTATATGGCTATATTAGTGCTTTATAGTTTATAAAGGGTCTCTACTTATATTTTCTCATTTGCTCCTAAAAACAATTCAAATCCACCAGCCACTCCTCAGATGGAAGGTTGGGCAATCTAACTTCCGTAGGGATGCTGCCTCGGAAACCCAAGGAGGGGTTGCTATGAGTCAGGTCTGACTCAATGGCACATAACAACAACAAAGACAGGGAAGATACTATTATTCCCACTTTACAGATAAAGAAATTGAGGCTCAGAGATGTTTACTGACTTGCCTAAGAACCTGATGTTTCTAACTGATAGAACAGTACTTGAACTCATACCTTCTGAGCCCTAATTCAATGTTTCTACTTCAGGACACCATTTTTGGAGGACAATAAAGAATGCATTTAAACATAGTAGTTCTAAGACTTTATATATTATGCTATGTTTCCTGTCATATAAAATTTTTAATTAAATTGTATAGTTCAGAGAAGCAAATCCAAAAAATTTAGCACACAAATTTTTTTATCAATACCTTCCTAAAATTCTTTTCAATTATTAATAAACTAGCATCAAAAATTCTTCACTGACACACTAGTTGTTGTTATGTGCCATCAAGTCGGACCCGACTCATAGCAACCTCTCCTTGGGTTTCTGAGGCAGTATCTCTACAGAAGTAGATTGCCCAACCTTCCTTCAGGGGAGTGGCTGGTGGGTTTGAACTGCCAGCCTTCTGGTTAGCAGTCAAGTGCCTTAGGCAGTACGCTATAGGTTAAAAAACAAAACAAAACAAAACAAAAAAACTTAATACTTCCCTTTGTGTTAGCCTGTTCCTCTACATACCTTAACCTTTGGACTAATGCTTTTGTCTAGTTCTTCCCCTTAGACTCTTTGCTGGAAAAGCATAGACATACTTTCTATACCTGAAATTATTTTCCTCAATAGTTTTCTACTTTCACCTCTTCATCCCATCTTAAGCTCTACAAACAGTAAAAATGTACACATTTTCATATCATTTAGCCTGACTCTTGGTCGTAAGTCATTTCTTGGTTCATTTTACAAGTTCCTGCTTGGACACGCGATGCTCCCAAGGCCAAGGAAAAGCACAGGGCCTGGCTATTTGCTTATACGGAGGACTCTATTCTGTCCAGAGCCTAATTCACTTTTTGATAGGAACAGATTCTTAGGGAGACAAATGAGTCCTTCAACTATTAGGAGATCATGTAGAACACTAGTGGATCAAGGATCTTACAGCAACAATATAGGACTAAATATATGTGGCTTGAGAGAGTCAGTATCCCTATCAGAATTGGAGATCCTGGAGAGTGGGAGAAAAGAAATGTGGCACAAATTAAAAAACACTACAGAAAAAAAAAAACACCAGGATTACTGGTCAGATAGACTGGTGAAAGCCCCATGACCATGGACCCTGGTTACCTTTCAGGCCTGGAACTGGACTCACTCCCATGGTTTAACTCTCAGACGAACAACAGACAGGCCTAGGAGTGGAACAACTACACCAGGGAGATGCACTCTTTATCAACCATGGGAGATCAGAAGGGAAAATCTGCACAGGGAGAAAGCTAAGGAGACAGGAATGCATAGGCAAGAAGAACACAGAAGATGGGTAACGATAGGGAGGAATGAGGAAGGGAGCTGTTAGTTACACTCTGGGGCAGTGTTTTGATTACCTAGTACTGATGTGACAAGAATATACCACAAATAGGATGGCCTTAACAAACAGGAGTTTATTCTCTTACAGTTCAGGAGGCCAGAAGTCTGAGTTCAAAGTGCCAGGCTCTAGGAGCTGGGTGAAAGACCCTTGACGTTGGGCTTCAGCTCTGCCTCTTGCTCCCGGCTCACTGAAGCTAGAGGCTTTTCTTCCATTCATGCAGCTACTAGCTGCTGAGGCTAGCAAGCCCAAGGTCAACAAATAAAATGGCACAGTCCCAATATTACCAAACCACATGGCAGGCCATTAATTCAAGTCCGTTGAAAGTCCCAAGGTTGGCAGAGCATGGCAGGCTGCTAAACAACAACAAGGCTACATGCAGGGTTCAAGTGTGCCATAAGCTAGAGACCGTTCCCAAAGCTGTTTCTTATACACGGGAAGCAAACCACATCCCTAAAGCAGCTATTCAGCTGCTTGTGATAGATCCCACCATGGAGTTGATTGACAATCTCATCATGAGGAATAACCACCACCAGCTGCCCAGCCATTCAACCAGGCCCAGTCAAGTTGACACACAAACTTAACCACCACAGGCAGTAAACAGTGTCACAAAACAAAATGTGTATGAACTGTTGAATATAAAACAAATCTGCTCTGTAAAATTTCACCCATATCACAATAAAAAGTTTTTAAAAAAAAAAAAAAAAAAACAGGAATCAGTATCTCTAATTGAGCCTAAGCCAGAGAGAAAATAAGAAAAGATATAGCAAAAAAGACCAAAATTCCATAGGACAGCCATCATGACATGCATAAAGGTGGGAAGTAAACAAAAATTAAAGTCACTGTCAAGTTCATAAATGAATGATGTCTGATAGAAACAAAAAAAAAAAAAAAAAAAAAAGAGGCCCAAAATGCAATTGGTAGAAAAAAAGCATATTAATGCAATTTCATCTAGGAAATAAATATATAAATACTGTAGGCTGTATTGAATGTTACATTCAAATTGAAAAGTATACTATAGCTGACATGTAACTTAATTCCCTTGAAGTATCTGATTTACATTAAGATGCTCCTGACTTTCAAAGAACAGGAACCGATTAACTGATTAGAATGTATAATAGAACTCATTTTCAAGCACAATAAAATAAGCTTAATTTCCATATAAGCTAATTATACAACAGATCTTATGAAGTATCCATTTTTCTTGGAAAACTAAATGATAAACCACCTATACTTCAAGTCTCATCTTAAAATAATTCTGTGATTTTTGTCAAAAGTTATGCAGCTATAGAGAGTAAAATAATTTAATATGTTCTTAGAAAATCATATCCATTAGCTTCAACTTTATTAAATAACATCCAAAACTTGATACACAACCAGGTATAAATAATTGTGCAATGGCTCATAGAGGCTGATGGGAAAAAGTTATGTGCTTTTTGTGTTCTTCTTAAAGATTTTAGCCACACTTTTTAATTCTGATCCTTTTTCTCCTCATAGAAATAGTATACCACATAGTAATTTGTAATCATTTGATTCTTAAATGAGATTTGACAAGTCTTTCTTATTTTATAAGATGAGGTGGCAACTAAGCTAATTCCATTACAAAGAGTAGACATGAAAAACTTTCCTAAGAGGTAATCACAGATTTTAGATAGATTTTCTAATGCCCAGTGTCCCATAAAAAGACTTGGAGGTACTTTGTCTTTCTGGTATCATTTTCAAAGCCAGCCTTTTTTAAAATCATAATAAACAGGTGAGTCAACCCACAATGCAACCACATCAGACAAATCTATGGAGAACAGGGAAGAATAAAGGAAAAGCCTTTAAAGGAGCATGTTTGATCTCAGGCTACACTTTAAAAAAAAAAAAGTAATGATTCCATGTTTATGAATTAGGTAAATTCTTACTACTATATTACTATGCAGAAAACAATCTATTATAAATATAAAGCTACCTCAGGAAATTATATTTTAACCTCACAAGCACCTTTTTTTGTTTATAATCTATTGATTGATGTGGTTTTAAAATTTAAAAATACAGTAGTTGGATGTTCTTATTCAATCAGGGCCAGATTAGTATAAAATTATCAAAAATGTTATTTAACTTTAACATCTCAAATAGTCACTCTTGAGCTTTCTCAAAATCCTTATTTCAGTGGCACAGAAACCAGTTTAGAAGAAAAACAGCAATATAACATCAAATTAGTGGCTGAAGTACTACTAGCAAAAGAAGGCAAGCAGAGAGAGCCTATGTTATACAGGCTGACTATGAACTTGCTTCTGATCCCTTGCTTCTGATCACACTCCCTTGTGGTAAATCACACTGTCTAAGCTATGAACGGCCACTAGGATGCACTGCAGGGCACTGTGAAGAGATTTTTTATTCCTTTAGACCGTCAGACTAATTAGGACCTATCTTCCCCTTGTGTAATAGAGAGTATTATATTCAAATATGTAGCTTTCCACCATACATTAAGGCAGCCTAAAATAAATCTAGGTCACATGTTTGGAATTATTAAATACTTACACAAAATTTTAGCAAAAAATTGTCCTAGCAAGATAGTGATTCTTGTACACAAAATTCATTCCTAAAGGAACAGATTTGAATATTAACTAAAAGAATGCTATTAAAGATACAAATATTTACTAATTTCTTCCAAGAGGGTCTTACAGAGAGACTCAAAGCAGAAGAAACAACTCTTGTCATTTGGGAAATTACAGCCGAATTATACGCAACAAATGCAATGTACTGTCGTCAAGTCGTTTTCTGACTCATAACGACCCTTCCTCAGGTTTCGGAAGCGGTATCACTATGGAAATAGATTGCCCAACCTTCCTTCCGAGGAGTGCCTGGTGGGTTTGAACTACCAGCCTTCTGGTTAGCAGTCAAATGCCTTAGGCACTACGCCACCAGAGCTCCTAGCTGAATTGTAAGAGCCTTAAAAGTAGAACTTCCAATGCTACACTGTGTATCTGAATATTACCTAAGCTTAATTTCTACCTGCTCTACCTATAGGCATTATGACATGTGTGTCCACTACTGAATCTTTCTAGTAGCTGAAGGATTTTTTTTCTATAAATTGAGTACAAGCAAAAGAACTGAGCCACCTGGTGTCAGCAAAGTTCTTTATAATCAGAATCTCAGTCTCCTCCATCTAAAAATCACTTTCCAAAAGTGACCCCAGGCTGGCCACTAGGTCATGACACTCTCAGCTCATAGTGGGAATTTGGAAGAGGTCAGTGGAAGCTGCAAACATATGGGTTTAAAAACGTTAATTTTCTAAGCCTTTAAGTGCTACCAAATGACCACCACATGCTCATTTCTACATCTAGAGTTTAAAATGTCCTTCAAACTGAAATTTACACTTCTCTAAAGTTGTAATGAGTCTTACCAGTTGAAAAAGGAATCAAAGTATAAGAACAAGGGGTGAGGACAAGATAAGAGAGAGTCACTCAAGAGATGAGATTTTGAAGGAATTTCAGAGTGCAAAGGAAGGGAAATGAAAACTAACACTGCAACCCAGTGCAGCCCTTTCACATTGCCCCTGACAATAAAATGCTATCTATCTTTCTTTAAATATAATGTATTTCTCTAATAATGTCACAAGTTTCATTATCAAAACCATTTGGGAGTGTTAGCAGGCCAATACCAGTAACTTTAGCTATCTAGGAAGGATCCTAGGATATTAGAAGGAAAAGTAACTTCACGTGATCCCCTAAGTTAATTGTACAGACCACAAAACTAAGAATCACACTGGTGAGAGTCTTACTAGTTACACAGCTAGTTCGGGAACAATAAACGGCAGAGGCTTCTGGATTTCCCAACCCAGTGTCTGAAGTAGGCACTGCCTTAATAATCTTTTGCTATTGTCTTTCTTTTAACCCGTTCTGCTCCCACGCACTGCCTGAAGTATTCTGAAACATGTTCCTCTGTGTTCCCACCCATATCTTCTTTCACTTCCCCATTTCCTCCTTCATTTGGTCAATACCAAGATGGGGCTTTCAGGTTTCACAATTTCTAAAGACCTTGGCCAAAGGACTGAGCATGCTCAGTAGCAGGGTAGTCTGGTTTTTGTTTATTGTTTTCCTTTTTATCACCCAAATAGAACTCTAGGACTGCAGAGAACTGCCTCCAGCTGAAGCTGACAGTATCCACGGTACCCACGGAAAGTTAAATCTGTTATCACCTCAGGTGAACATTTACTGTACTCTAAGTAGACACGTAAATGCTTGCATCCTATGAAAGAGCGACTCCCTAAGCATAAACCATAGATGGATTATCAAATTCATAACTACATTACTGTGGGGAACGTTTAAAGAAGTGGGATGCTTTCTGTGATCAATTTTTGTGAAGTTGACAGCATTAGGGGAAATGTGAGAGAAAGTAGGCGAAACTAGTAAAACAAGGATTTTAAATTTAAAAAATAAATAAAATTCTGCCTACCAGGAAAGGCATGAGGGAAAGATGTGACTCTTAGACTATGTCTTGATATCTGAGGCAGCAGGAAGGGTAGGGCCCTATGGGTATCAAGGAAAATTCGAAGTATCCACCCTTTCTCCTCCTGCTCCTAGACCTGCTAGAGTCTGTGGTGGCAAGTTGGAAGCAAAATTCCTTCCTGCCCCTGAGCTGGCATATCCTGCAGTCCTAGCCCATGTCTGTCCCCGGATGGGTACAAGAGGCTCTGGGTTGCGCACAGCCTTGACACCCCTGGTAGGAAAAGAGGGAGGCGGGATGCGAGCCGATTCGAGGGTTGGGGATGCTGGTACGTACCGAAGAGGCTGTGGTCCTGCCGGGTGCCCTGTACGCTGCCGTCCGGCAGGATCTGCAGGTGAAAACCCGTGCGGCAGTAGAGCTGGCGACGGCGCAGGATGCCGTGCAGGTGCGTCAGCTCCGCTGCCCCGGGCCCTCCGCTGGCGCCGCGCTCCGCTGCGCCCCGGCGCTCCCCTAGCAGGGCCGGCCGCTCCCCCGCAGGGGGCAAGAGGAAGTGCGAGCCCACCTGCTGGCCCAAGCCCTCCAGGCCGCCCAGGAAGCCCCCGACTTCGGTTAAGGGAGCCATGAAGGCGCCAGCAGGGGAAGCGGAGGATCCAGAAAACACAAGACCCCCAAAAGAAGTGTAGTGGGGAAAAGGACAAGGGGTAAGAGGGAATGAAGAAAAATTATAGCAAAACGGGTGCAAAAAGTTGAAGCCGATTACTCCTGTGAGACCGTTGAATGAACTTTGTACTGAGATACCAGGGAAGCTTTCACTGTCCTGGAGCGATCTTCTCTCCTTAGATAGGTGGGAGCCGGCTGCTGGCTTTGCAGAAACATCTATAGCTGCTGTGGCCAATACGGCTGGGGCTGAGGCTCTAAGTCCGCAAACTGATCAGATCAGAGACCAGTGTACATATACACCGGGTATATATGCGGGTCCTCTTGACATATGCTAATCAAGTCTTTTCGTGAACTCTGGGGAGGTTCTGTTTGAAATCTTAAACCAGCTTCTCAACACGTTTTTGCTCTTCAGAAATCACTAAAAGAGGCCCTTGACAGATCTCTGTCCATGAAGTCGCAAAACTCATTCCCACACTTGGGCAAAGCTAGCCAGCAACTTTGGAGAGGCGCAGTCAAGGTCTCTCTTTGGGGTTGTCTTTGGGGCAACGGTGATGTTGTTTCGGCTGCTGCTGTTCAACCGCCTTTGATGTGAGCTCCTTTGCAATGACAGATCCCAGCTTAAAGGAGCCCCCGCTTGGCAAGTATATAGGGGGGGGGGGCGTAGTGGAGGATTAAAAAGAAGGGGACAGATACGAGGACAAAAAAAGAGAGAAGAGAAGGAGAGTTGAACTCCTTGTGAGCTACTGGGAGCCTGCAGTGGACAGGTGCAAAGAAAGGTAAGAGAGGAAAAAGGAAAAAGGGCGTTACCTGAAGCTTAGACCTGCCCAGACAAACATGAAAGGAAAATCAAAGCTTTGACAGTTTAACTCACTAATTTTAAAACACTAATAAAATGTACAAGCATTACTCTTTTCTTTTATCATTTAGATGGGGGATTTTCTTTACATAATCAAGGCTGGGTTAGGAATAGCCACCCCCCTCCCCCAGGTTCTCTTTAATGTTTTTCTTTACTCAGCAAGCACATGATATAATCAAGTTTGCTTTATATCTGTATGGAAGTTTTAAATCTATGTTAAGGTCATGATCTTTTAATTAGCATAATATAATTACATAAAACAGTCATGAATTTAAAGTTTAAGAGTAAAATCAAATAGGCTGAAGAGAGATAGTTTATATTCTTATATTTTGCTAAGAATAGAAAATAAGTGTCTAGAATAGTGTCATAATGATGAGTAGACTCTGGGGCCCTTATCTAATCTAAGAGCATTTTCTTTAAGGCTAAATTTTTTTTGTTCACACTTCAAATATAAAGTCTAAGAAGAACTAAATTGAAAATGGTGTTGATTCCTAATGTGTTTTGAGACTTAAAAAATACTGGTAAAAACTTAAGCATGCTTGTGCATATGTTGACAATTAAAAGCCACTGAAGTGAAGGAGTTGGATAGATGTCTATTTCAAACTTAAAACTTTGATATTGTACTTTTAGTTAAACTCAAGATCTTCCTGTTAGAATTTTTCACTGGCAGAAGAGTTGAGAATCATTTGGTAGATTTATGTTCCCCTTGAGCAAAAAGTTTTAGGGAATATCTAAGGATTAGTTTTTCAGTCTTGTTTCATGGTTTGTTCAGTAAAAACCTAACCCTGAGAGTTCAAATGGATTTCACTGGTTTATTTTATTTGTTCTGAAGGGTTTTTTGCTAATTAATTGGCAGGTGCTTTAAAGTAGGTAAAGTTACACCTTTTCATCACATAGTCCAAGTACTGACCCTTGTGCAACCAAGTTATAAAAGAGTTCTTAAAACAAGTGATTTACTGTTGATAGATATGAAAGAAAACAAAAACACAGGCTAAGAACAATAAACAGATAAATCACTTTAGAAATATATATTGCCTGTTTTAAGGGTTATACCAGGTAAATGTCATATTATTTTACCTTTCAAATAACAGAAGTCTGTCTTGTAGTAGGACCCCCAAATCCACCATAATCAAGATTTCAAAGCACATCTGTGTAAACATTATCACATCAGTGTAAAACACCAACCAATGAGCTTTTACTTTGAACAAAATCTCCTTAACTGCAGTGTTAAATCAAAGAAAGTTAGATCAAAGATGTGTGATTCTCATAGCGGGATAACTAAAGTAACCTGCACACACATCGATCACTTGAAGAAGAGATACTTAAAAGTTTAAAACTTAGATCAAGTACCTTTTAATGAGGCTTGTTTCAAGGTCTACATTCTGTTAATTATTCTACAATGGATATATATCACTGTCACCTTCTCCTAGAGGTACTAGTTTAGTCTATAAAATATTCCATCACATAGCACTTATATTGCTGCTATGTGATCTATAGTTAGTAGGCGGTTTAAATCTCTTGTACTACCTATGCACATACTAAAGTATGGGAAATTTTTTATACATAATTATCAAAGCCCAAATACTTTAATGATAGAACAGCCTTCTCTTTGAATAATTTTAGCATTTTCATGTGCATTACCTTATTTGATCATTGCAATAACCCTACCAGGGTACATCCCATCTTGGAAAGAAGAAGATTGTCCTGGATTTTAGTTCAGGGTTCAGTCTAGAACTCTACATCCCAAGGCAATTTCCTTAGACTCTATTTCCTCTTTTGTAAAATAAGAAGCATATCATCCTTGCCTAGTTCACTATGCCTAGGGGTTGCTGAGACTTAAATGTCCAAATATATAGGAAAGTGGTTTTAAAACTATAAAGTTTTTTTATGCATATAAGGAGCTAAATACCTTCAGCTGCTGGAAAAATAACTTGTGCTTTATAATTTAGTCAATTTAATTGGTTTGAAATATAAAATGAACTTTTTAATTCCTTTTTTACAAACTGAACCTTTAATGTGTACGTTTTGAATGGTGCTTAATGCCGTTTTATAAAGGACCAGAATAGAAACAAAAAGATAAGGATTTCTTTTGTTTGCATTAGTCATGTGACAGGAAAAGATAACATTAAAGATTTTTTTTTTGCACATGCTGTGATGATATCATGGGAAGTTAAATAATTTTGAAGAGTGTTTTACAAGAGTGCATTATTCAACTTTTAAGTATACATTGCAATCTAATCAACTTTACCTATACTTCCTAGAGACCACACTTGCCATGCTGTTATACAAATATATGGTACAATTTCTATTTCCACTAAAAGTAGTTACAATTTCCCAGACTATATAATTCCTATATAGTTTTTTAGCCAGCATATTGTCATGAACCTTGTATATGAGAAAAGTTTATATCTTTTTTTGCTTCTACCTATGTTTAACTTGAGAAAAAGAGAAAGTACTGACTTGAAAGTCATGATTTATACCCCCAATAAACATTTGCATAATATTATTTATTGCAGCATTATTTGCAATTGCAAAATATTGGAAGCAACATGAGTATCCATACATAGGAAACTGGTTAAATAAGTTATGGTATATTCATCCAATGAGTACTATAAAGCTGAATAAAGAAAATAATAAGAAAGATTCTTATGAACTAATTTGGAGTGTTTCCAGTAAAAAGAGCAATGTGCAAAAGAGTGTGGATTGTATGCTACTCTGTAAGAAAAAGGAAAGTAAGAAAAATATTTACATGTACATGCATATTTTAAAAATACATATACACAAGAAAGATAAGCCAGAAACTAATGAAATTTGTTACTTTCAGGGGATGCATGGAAATGGAGTAAAAGGTGGAGTAATGACATTTCTCAGAGAAGGAATTTTTATAATCTTGAGTTTTAGAGTAGTGTTAAGATTTTACATTTTTTAAAAAGTAAGAATATCAACAAGGATGAGGAAGAAAATGGAATTAAACCAGGAACAAATTAACATAACTATATTTAAGTGGAGGAGCTCTGGTAGCATAGTGCCTAAGGTACTTGACTGCTAACCAGAAGGCTGGTGGTTCAAACCCATCAGCCTCTCCTTGGAAGGAGGGTTGGGCAATCTACTTCCGTAGTGATACTGCCTCAGAAACCAAAGGAGGGGTCTCTATGAGTTGGGACTGACTCGACAGCACATAACGACAACAACAACAACACAACATATTTAAGTGAATAACAAAACCACACAGAAGGGAAGTTAAAAAAATAAAAAATAACCTAAGTAACTTTTAAATACAGTCCTTTGACTTTATAATTAAGGCCTAAAGACAAAAAATACATTAACAAATACTGTATTTTAGTTAAAAAGATTGTTTTTCTTAGTGGCAGGGTTTAACTAGTTGCTGCCAAGTCTATTTCAACTGATGCCAACCCCTTATGTGTCTCAGTAGAACTGTTTTCAATGGCTGATTTTTCAGTAGCCTTTCCTTCAAGGCATCTTTGGGTGTGCTTGAACTTCCAAACATTCAATTAGCAACTAAGTATGTTCACCGCACCACCCCAAGGTTAGACTAGTGTATTTAAGGAATGAGCAAATGTGTATGGATAATGGGAGCCAGGTGTTTCATGCTTAGAGAAAGTTGTTGTTGTTAGGTGCTGTCAAGTTGGTTTTGACTCATAACAATCATATGAGGGAAGACTAGAATGAACCCTGGCTGTTGAATTGAAATTGCAGTTACCAGTGTTAATTCATCGCACGTGTGTGTGTGTGTGTGTGCATGTATATGTGTACCATAGCTCTGTTCACTAAAAGGGCCTGGAAGCCAAAACACCCAGAAGCAATGAGCATACCTAATGCCTAGATCTTGGTTTCTAAATTCATCCCCCACTAACATTTTAGTGTTAACATTGAACAATCTCCAGTGATCCTTGGAGAAAGGGTTGGTTCCAGGTCATCTTTTTGTAGTAGAAAGCAAAGAAGTAGTCATAAAATAATGAAAACATGTCAAAAGGACACAGGCTCAGTCTGGGACAATCTGAGCATCAAAATACATAATGATAGGTATGAGATATATATGGAATAAGTTAAGAATCAATTAGTGAATACTGTTTAAACAAATAAATAGAGGAGAAAAAAAAAAAGCTCTTATGGAGAAAACCAACTAATAAATATATATGAAATTA